ACTTTATACACATATATGTATGTGTGCATTTTCATACATGTGTGTGTATGTGTGTGTGTGTGTATATATATATATATATATATATACACACAATACATATATTAGACACACACATACACATACACATATATACTAGTATATATTTATTTCACATTTGCTTTGTCCATTCATTCATCAATGGACATTTAGGTTGTTTCCATGCCTTGGCCATTTATGATGAGAGAGAGAGACTCATGGATTGGTTGCCTCCCTCAGGCTCCCTAACCTCTTTTATCTATTTTATCCACCACCACTGCCTCAGGCAACCATCAGTGTGTTCTTCATATTCTGACCTTGGCTTTGTTTTGTTTTGCTTTTTTTAAGTTTCTATATATAAGTGAGAATTATTTTTGTCTGACTTAATTTCACTTAGCATAATATCCTCAAGGTCCATCTATGTCACAAATGGCAAGATTTTTTTTATAGCTGAATAATATTCCATTTTATTTATATATATATGTATATATATCTATGAATATATATGTGTGTGTCTATATATATATACATATATATAGACACACACATACACATACACATATATACTAGTATATATTTATTTCACATTTGCTTTGTCCATTCATTCATCAATGGACATTTAGGTTGTTTCCATGCCTTGGCCATTGTAAATAATGCTGTAATGAGCATGGAGGTGGAGATACCTTTTCAAATTAGTGTTTTCATTTTTAGGTAAATACCCAGAAGTGGGATTGCTGCATCACATGGTAGTTCTGTTTTTAATTTTTTGAGGAAACTCCATACTGTTTTCCATAGTTGCTGTACCAGTTTACATTCTCACCAAACAGAGCGTAAGTGTTCCCTTTCCCCTATATTCTGGGCAACACTTGCTGTCTCTTGTCTTTTTTATAATAGTCATTCTAACAGGTATAAGGTTTTGATTAGCATTTCCTGGATGATTGGTGATGTTAAGCATCTTTTCATGTGCCTTCTGGCCATTTGTATGTCTTTGGAAAAATATCTGTTTAGGTCTTCTGCCCATTTTTTATTTGGATTGTTTGTTGTTTTGCTGTTGAGTTGTATGAGTTCTTTACATGTTTTGGATATGAATGACTTGCAAATATTTTCTCCCATTCAGTAGGTTGCCTTTTCATTTTGTCGATGGTTTCCCTCCCTGTATAGAAACTTTGTAGTTGTTTTTTTGTTTGTTTATTTTTTTTTTGTTTAATCCTCTTCTGAGGATATATTTTTAGATAGAGAAAAGGAGTGATAGAGTAGAGTTTAGCTTATTGCTTTTTTTTTGTCTAGTTCTATTTGTCTAGTCTAAAATATTGTTATGTAACTCAAGGGTCATTAAAATAGTCTCTGTGGATTTTATTTTCTGGTGTCCAGTTCATCTCAAATGGATTTTTTTAATTCAAATTTTTGTGTATGCAATAATATACGTCAAAGTTTCTTTTTTCCATTGAGTCTTTCAACACCGTTTATTAAAAATACTAGAGGCCTCGTACACGAAATTCATGCACGGGTGGGTCCCTCAGCCCAACCTGCACCCTCTCCAATCTGGGAGACCTCAGGGGAGCCCTCTCCAATCCAGGAGCCATGACGGCTTAAGCCCACTCCCCGTGGTTCTCTGCTCTCTGTGGGGCCTGGCCGCTCCGTACCCACTGCCCAGAGGCTCTCCGTGGCCCAGAGACCCTCCGCGGCCAGGGCAGAATACTTGCCTTGTCGCCGCAGCAATGAAGCAAACATTCTGCCAGGCAGCTCACGCTGCCCACTCTCAGCAGCTGCACGCCCCCAACCCCCCCCCCCCCCAGGATTGGGGGACTACAGCAGGGTTGAGGGAACTGGTGCCGCCATCTTGTGGCTATGGGCGCCGCCATCTTTGTGACAGAATGATGATTAATTTGCATATTATCCTTTTATTAGCTAGGATAGCTGTCCGGTTTTGCTTTAAGTCAGTAATCCTATCTAATAAAAGGATAATATGCAAATTGACCTAATGGTGGAATGACTGGTTGCTATGACGTGCATGGACCACCAGGGGGCAGACGCTCAACATAGAGGCTGCCCCCTGGTGGTCAGTGCGCTCCCACAGGGGGAGCACTGCTCAGCCACAAGCTGGGCTGATGGCTAGTGAGCGCAACAGTGGTGGTGGGAGCCTTTCCCACCTCTGTGGCAACGCTAAGGATGTCCGACTGCGGCTTAGGCCCACTCCCTGTCAGTTGGACATCCCCCGACGTCCAGGGCTCCTGGACTGGTAAAAGTCGCAGGCCGAGCTTAGGACACCTCCCCCCCTTCCCCCGCCCCATTGCATGAATGCCATGCACTGGGCCTCTACTATTGTAATAACTGTGTATGGTGTTAGATGGGTACTAGACTTACAATGGTGATCACTTTGTAAGTTACATAAATGTTTGATCACAATGTTATACCCCTGAAACTAATATAATATTGCGTGTCAAATATAATTTTAAAATGAATCTTTAAAAAAGACTGCTTACCTACTCAGCCAGTGTGGCTCAGTAGTTGAGTATTGACCTATGAACCTGGAGGTCATGGTTTAATTCCTGGTTGGTCAGGGCACATGCCTGGGTTGCGTGTTCGATCCCCATAGCAAGTGTGCAGGAAGCAGCTGATCCAAGATTCTCTCTCTTCACTGATGTTTCTCTCTCTCCCTCTCCCTTCCTCACTCTGAAATCAATCAAAACATTTTTTTTAAAAAAAAGACTGCTTCCCCTATTGAATTGCTTTGTTCTTTTATCGAAAATTATTTGACTCTGCACTTGTATTTCTATTTCTAATGCTATTCTGTCCCATAGACCTATTCATACTTATTCCAATAACTCTTCATTACTGTGGTGAAGTTTGTAGTATGAATCATTCAAGTTTGTTTTTCTTTTTTTGGAGCTTTTTTTTTTTTATTTTTTTTTATGGAGTTTTTACAGAGAGGAAGGGAGAGAGATAGAGAGTTAGAAACATCGATGAGAGAGAAACATCGACCAGCCGCCTCCTGCACACTCCCCACTGGGGATGTGCCCACAACCCAGGTACATGCCCTTGACCGGAATCGAACCTGGGACCTTCAGTCCACAGGCCGACGCTCTATCCACTGAGCCAAACCGGTTTCGGCAAGTTTGTTTTTCTTAATATTGTTCTGACTCTTCTAGATCCCTTGCATTTTAATACACATTTTAAATTTGGCTTGTCAATTTTTAGAGGAAAAGCCTGTAGCGATTTTGCTAGGAACTGTATTTTATCTGCAGATGAATTAGGATAGCATGAATACTCTAATAATGGCTCTTGTAGTCCATGAAAATGATATTTTTCTCCACTTATTTAGGTCTTTAACTTCTTTCATCAGTGTTTCAATTTTTTATTGTAAAGGTCCTACACAGCTTTTGATTTATTACGAGCTACTTTATTTTCTGCTATCATATATGGAACTGTTTTTTGTGTCATTTTCTAGTCTTTGCTGAGATCCATTTTTTTCTGGTTGTGATTACTATGAAAGGAACATAAGATTATTTGCTGAAAGAGGATAATGGTAAGACAGTTTTTTATTCGGTTTTTACCTGGTTATGGGAATATTGGAAGATTGGATTGCCTAGTATGCTTTTTTTTTTCTTTTTCTTTTTAATATTTCTTTAGTGTAGATACTCCTTTAGGGTTAATGACTTTGAGTTTTGAAGGTGACCAGTTGTGTGTGGACTAGTCTTCCCAACTATCCTTAGAGATGAGGTAGATGTTTGGAATCATCCAGGCTGGTCTTTTTTTTTTTTTAATATATTTTTATAGATTTCAGATAGTAAGGGAGAGGGAGAGAGAATCATGAATAGGCTGCCTCCGGCACACCCCCCACTGGGGATCAAGCCCACAACTGGGCATATGCCCTTGACCGGAGTCGAACCCAGGACCCCTCAGTCCGCAGGCCAACACTCTATCCGCTGAGCCAAACCGGTTGGGGCCAGGACTGGTCTTTTGCTCATTCAGGGTTATAATAGGCAGAGGAATTTGGACAGATTGTAGAAGTGATAGATTGTGATAAATCGTGCCTTGATAGGTGGGGCAGTGAGAAGAGGAATTTGCTGTGAGGGAGATTGTAGAAGCATGAGTGGTCTGGAATCCTCTATAAAGTGAAAGAGTGCATGCAAGAGGAATGTTGTGTAGAAGTGCAGATTTCTGAATCATTGTTACATAAAGTTGCCAACTAGAGATGACAAGGCCTGTGTGTTGGCGTACAGTTGTGTATGTTGATGTGGAGTGGGGGGCCAAATAGCACTGGAGATTGGAACATGTAGTCCTAGATGGACCATCCTCATGGATACTAGAATGATCCTAAACCATAGCATGTATCAAAGTTGAAGAACAGAAGTCTGGGGCACAAATGTTTAATGAGCGAGGGAGTTTAACAGAGTTGTACTTGGTGACACATTACATGGGGGTCAGGGTTGTCCACCACATTGCCTGAAGGTCTTGCCTAAGCAAGGGAAAGGCTTAGGATCAAACAGAATTTGCTGCTCAAAAGGAGAAATACTGGAAAGCAGAAGTCAGAATTGTCCCATGAGCAGGAGAGATAGAAAGCCTTGATTTCTTCTAGTAATCTTTTTCTCATTTACTACAGATGCCTGCTCGAAGACTCCCATAAGAACAAGAGAGTAGCTTTCTGATGCTAGTGCCCTGTTGTTCAGGCAAATTTATTATCATTCTCACAGGATGGCAGCTCTTGATCTCTCTCCCACATGTGGTAAGTTCTAGGAGTGAAGAACGCTCTCAGAATTCAAGCTTAAGTGGCCACTGCCACTTCCCAAGGACAGAGGGATGGCTGCCAGGGGAGGATGAATCAACTGGAAAGTAGTGGGAGCAAAGTCCTGGGAGAGCCTCTTGAGGTCACTGTCTGATTTAGGCAGGATCTTTTTTTTTTTTTAATATATTTTTATTGATTTTTCACAGAGAGGAAGGGAGAGAGATAGAGAGTTAGAAACATCCACGAGAGAGAAACATCAATCAGCTGCCTCCTGCACACCCCCCACTGGGGATGTGCCCACAACCCAGGTACATGCCCTTGACCGGAATCGAACCTGGGACCCTTCAGTCCGCAGGCCGACGCTCTATCCACTGAGCCAAACCGGTTTCGGCTAGGCAGGATGTTTGTGAGTTTGGGTGAGAGAGGGAGTGTGTGTAATTGGTGTGAAAAGAAAAACACAGGTATGGGTAGTAACCCTGAACTGCCTCATTTATTATTTTGATAAATCTGAGCAAAGCTCCGTCTCTTAGAGAGTTAATTTCTTCACTCATAAATTGAGAAAACATATTACTTTTGTTACAGGTATATTGGCCCACCTCCCTTCTTCCTGTCCTTGAGTAGAGCAGGGCTGCTCTGGATTCTTACCGAATGTGGGGTGTGTGTGTGTTTTGATGGGGAATGTGCACTACACGCTTTTAGTTTAGTAGTTTGTGAGTGTCAAGCAAGCTTTTATTCTCATGGATCCTGTTTTCTCTAGCTATATCCATCCAGGAACCTGCCCATATCCAGGAGTCAGAAACTCCTCTTGCCTCAAAAGACCATTCTTGTCACCAGAATATGGACCTGTTTGCTTGTAATGGCCTGGAGCTTCATATGCCAACTAATGTCATTTCCCAGGTACGCCAATATCTCTGGGCCCCTGAAGGTGGGAGAGGCACTTCCTAGGACACCCCCAATATCACATAATGGAAATCTTTTAGATTTTTATTCTGGTTAATTGATGCCTGATCAGGGATCAAGGGACAGAGCCAAATAATGTTTCAAGGCTGTCGCAGTATCAAAGTTTTTAGGGAAAGTGACTTACATAGCAAATGTTTCTCTTATAATATGGTTTGAGTGCTCAGGCCAGGCTAAAAGTGGAGAGAGATTTTGATCCCATGTCAGAGTTGCATTTGAAGCAGTGAGACAGGGTAAGATCACCACATAAGGAAAACAGAACAGCTGCTGACTGGCTTCTGGAATAAATTTTGAGACACCAGAACCCCATACTGAAATCCTATGATTTGAGTCTTTCATATCCAGTCTTCAGCCTCTGCCATCTTTAAAACCAAGCTCTTTTCTCACCGACCCCAAATGTGTTTCAGGACTCAGTGACTTTCCAGGATGTTGCAGTGGACTTTACTGAGAAGGAGTGGCCCCTGTTGGATTCTTCTCAGAGAAAACTATACAAAGATGTGATGCTGGAGAACTATAGCAACCTTGCCTCAGTGGGTAAGACTGGCATCACTTCTTCACTTATGAATCAAATAATTTTAAGTAGTTGGCTGTAACCTAGGAGCAGGGTGGGGATTTGGAACACAATTGTGACCTGGTGCCTACCCTTTGGTGTCTCCCATGGATATTGAGACCTGTTTGTTGCATTGACCTTGGAGGTTGTCAAATGTGTCTGAGCTTGGGCATAGGTTTCTGAATTAAGAAATCCTTAACTTCTGAGTTAAGAAATCTATTGAAGGGCAAAACATGTGGGTGTTTGTGGTTTTGATTTTTATGACAGCCTTTCACTGTGTCCCTTAGAAATTTGTCACCGTCATTTTGCTGCTCCTAAGTCAGTCTTGTCCATCTTCAGAACTCTTGACTTCAGAACACGTGTCCTCTGCACGATCCTCCCTCAACATGTATCTTTCCCCGTGAGTAGGGTGTCAGGTGGGGAAACCCAGCCTCATCTTCCACTTGGAGCAAGAAGAGGAGCCGAGAACAGAGGAGAGGGGACTGCCCCAAGGCACATGTCCTGGTAAGGACCTGCATCATAAGTGCTTCTGAGTAGTGGCTATTCTCAGTGATTGGGGTGGAGGGAGATCCATTAGGAAATTTCACCCAGGAATATATAAAATGCTCATTCTCTTTCATTGCTCCTCCATTCTCTGACAGATTCTTTGGTTTCACTATCCTTTTACCTTTAAATTTGACATGTCCACATGGAACTTTTTTCTATCCTTTTAAATTCAACATTCCTGATTATATTTTTTCTTTCATTAATGTTGGTCTTTGAAGAATTACTTCTTAGTGTGCTAACATAAATGTCTACCCCTTGTCATTGCCAAATATCACACAGTCAAATATTTCAGTCATTTTTACCCATGCATTCTTCCTTTTCACCTCATCTTTCCTTTTTTAGAATTGGTATTTTTTTTAAAATCACCTATTTTTGTCACCAGCGTTCTACCATTTTCTTTTATCAGCAAATTTATCTTTTTCCAATTTGTTTCAGATTGGGAGATTCCTTCTAAAACCAAGTGGTCTATTCTCATGGAAGATATTTTTGGGGATGAAACACCTAGTGGTGTGACAATGGTAAGATTTTGGGGGGGATAATTCTGGGTCTTCCATATTAGGAGATAAGTGGGGCAGCTTAAGTTAGAAAAGGAACTCAAGAACTAGGCAGGTGGCATTCTCCAAGAGGAAGCAGTGTTAGAGACACTAATATTACCAATTACTAACCCCAGACTTTCCACTTAGAGTTCTGATGAGTAAAAATTTCTATAGCTATGTCTTAGGTAATTGAGTGTTGGAGTTCAATTCCAATTTAAACAGTTAACAAAGTCTATTTTGTAAAAAGCTTTGTTATGGTTACACACATGGTACCTTAGGGCATACATAACATTCACCTATTCTACTTGATAGAGCCCACAGGGTCAGGACTAGTATTTTTACATCTATAGTCATAATGATGACATCTATAGTCATAATGATGTGCTTTAATTTATGTCAGTTTATGTGGGGATAATTCTTAGGAATGAAGTGAATATTGGAAATGGCTTAGTCAGCACTCATCTTTAAATCAACAGGAAAGAACTCATCTTGGAGAGAAATCCACTGAATATGCTCACCTGTTTGAAGTCTTCAGTATGGGTGCTCATCTTACTCAGCAAATGGGAAGACACACTGGCAGGAGGCCCTATCACCGCCGGGACTATGGGGTGGTTTTCAAGAACAGGCCACATCTATCGCAACATGTGAGCATTTACAATGGGAGAAAAATGCATGAATGCCATCAGTGTCAAAAAGCCTTTACCACAAGTGCTTCTCTTACACGGCACAGGAGAATACACACTGGGGAGAAACCCTATGAATGCAATGTCTGTGGGAAAGCTTTCAATGATCCCTCAGCCCTTAGGAGTCACGCAAGAACTCACCTCACAGAGAAGCCCTTTAATTGCAGTCAATGTGGAAATGCATTCCGAACCCTCTCCTCCCTAAAGATACACATGAGAGTTCACACTGGGGAGAGACCTTATAAGTGTGATGAATGTGGGAAGGCATATGGCAGGAGCTGCCACCTCATTGCACACAAAAGAACACACACTGGAGAGAGACCCTATGAATGTCAAGACTGTGGGAAAGCTTTCCAGCATCCGTCACATCTCAAAGAGCATGTCAGGAATCACACTGGAGAGAAACCCTATGAGTGCACACAGTGTGGAAAAGCCTTTCGATGGAAGTCTAACTATAATTTGCACAAGAAGAACCATATGGTAGAGAAAACATATGAATGTAAAGAATGCGGGAAATCCTTTGGTGATCTCTTATCACGGAGAAAACACATGCGAATTCATATTGTAAAGAAACCCGTTGAATGTCGGCAGTGTGGGAAAACATTCAGAAACCAGTCCATCCTTAAGACACACATGAATTCTCACACTGGAGAGAAACCATACGGGTGTGATCTGTGTGGGAAAGCCTTCAGCGCCAGCTCAAACCTAACAGCACACAGGAAAATACACACTCAAGAGAGACACTATGAATGTGCTGCCTGTGGGAAAGTCTTTGGTGATTATTTATCCCGGAGGAGGCACATGAGCATTCATCTTGTAAAGAAACGTGTTGAATGTAGGCAGTGTGGGAAAACCTTCAGAAACCAGTCAACTCTTAAGACACACATGAGAAGTCACACAGGAGAGAAGCCTTATGAGTGTGATCACTGTGGGAAAGCCTTCAGCATAGGCTCAAACCTTAATGTTCACAGGAGAATACACACTGGGGAGAAGCCCTATGAATGCTTGGCTTGTGGAAAAGCCTTCAGTGATCATTCATCTCTTCGGAGTCATGTTAAAACTCACCGGGGAGAAAAACTCATAGTGTCATCAGTGTGGAAGAGGCTCCAATGATAACACCTTCTTTAAGAAACACAAGAGCTCAGACTGGAAGGAAACCTTTTAAGTTCCAGGAATGCAGGAAAGCCTTTATTAATTCATTTTACTGAGCACAAGGGAATACATGTAACTTGAAAGAGAAACAGTTTGTGTAATGACTGAAAAGACGAGTTTTTTTCTCATCTCTGAGAATTAATGCTGGGGGAGAAAATGTGTCTCTGTGGTGTGGAAAAGCCATCAGTGTACATTTAAGTCTTAACAAATGTGACAGCTTAGGAAGAGAAACCCTAGCCTGGTACTTAATGTTAAAATTACTGTTGTACCACCTGGCACCTTCTGAGCCTACAAGTAAAGTAAGCACACTAGGGAAACATGGAAAAGTCGGTAATGGGTCAGGAAACTACAGCCAGCTGTCTATGTACGGTTCTCAAGCTAAGAATAGTTTACATTTTTAAGGAAGAAAATATGTGACAGAGACAGTGTGGCCCACAAAGACTAAAATACTCATTGTCTGGCCCTTTACAGAAAAAAATTTGCCAATTCCTGTTGCAAAGCAGTGGTTATTACCAGGGAGCGGCTAGGCTCCCCAGGAGACATTTGGCAATTTCTGGCGACATTTTTGGTTGTTAAAACTGGGGAAGGCATTACCTTCATGTAGTTGGAAGACATCAAGGATATTGCTAAATAGACTACAATGCAGAGGAGCTCCCCAGAGCAAAGATCTATGTTCCCCCAGAACGTTAATATTGTCAAGGTTAAGAAACCTTGTCCTAGAACAGCTCCTCGATTTTTATGAAACTTGAGTACTAGTACTCATGGTAGGCGAATTTCTATTTAACACTTCAAAAATATAACCAATGTAATTAATTCTTTCAAGAAATGCAAGAACCCACACTGCCGGCAATCCCTACGTGGAAATGATTTCAGCCACAGCCCCCTCACGTTGCTTATGAGAATTCATTCACACCTGTAAGGAATTTTCTAGTGAGTGTGAAATTGCATTTAATGTATTTCATCATGAAAATAGACACTAGCTCATAAATTTTTAGTCTTTAAGGTTATGCTTTAAATTACCCTTACACACATCACAATAGCTTTGTGTGTAGTATTTTAATTATAATTTTACTCTTAAGAATGTGTTAACTTCCTTTTGGATGATTTACTTGACCAATAGACTCTGTAGAATCTTAGTTACTGTGAAACGTGGGTATTTTTTAGTTAGAAACATCGATGAGAGAGAAACATCGATCAGCTGCCTCCTGCACACTCCCCACTGGGGATGTGCCCGCAACCAAGGTACATGCCCTTGACCAGAATCGAACCTGGGACTTGAGTCCGTAGGCCAATGCTCTATCCACTGAGCCAAACTGGTTAGGGCACCGTGGGTATTTTTAGTGCCTGTTTGTTTGAGTATCTAAATCAAATGCATTGTGATCAGACTATGATGTCTTCATCAGACGAGTCCTTTGGGATGTTCCAGTCAACAGTGGCATATACTTCTAGTTGCTTCCCTAGTGTCTCATCTTCCATATCAAGAAAACTCAATTTTTGTCAGATTAGTAAGGTGTACTATTTTTAAAATCTCTTACAAGTTTCCTTACAATTCATACAGTTCATGTTCCACAGCCTATCCATTATCAAATAAGCAGATGTTAATATAAGGGCTTTGAGAAGACTCCTGAAAAAAGGGCCATCTTACCTGGATTCTTCTCCACTTGTTTTTTTATTTTTGTTCTTCCCCCCACTTCTCACTGAGCAAGGAGATCCAGTACCTTGTGTTAAAAGATCCATCTTATGACCTATGACCATGAGGATGCAAGGTACAGGCTAAGAAGGATCCTGCAGAAAATTCCAAAGGATTCTGGCCTCCCCAGGCGCTTCTTTAGGTGTCTATACTATCCCTGAATTCACTTCCAGACTTCCTATTACATGGAAAAATAAAACTGATTATTGTTTTAAGCTGCTTTGGATATTCATTTCTTTTTCTGTTAGTTTTTTAATTGGCAGAGGGAGGGTTCTGCCTCATCCAGCTAGATGCTGTCTAACCCATTCACCTGTGACAGAGACTGTGTGTGGTCCACAAGTGAGTTTTTGTAACGGCTACACATATGGGTATAATCTGCTTATGCTTTTAACTGTTGGATATGGATTTTTAAATTCTTCAAGCCAAATTTTAAAATTGCATTTCATATCTTTGATCTATTTAAACATCTATTTTCCTTCCTTCTTGTATTGAAGAACTGTATTTGTTTTCACAGAAGTGCTAAGTGGACATTTACTTTATTCAGTTTCTTCTTAAGGTGAAGAAAACTCTTTGTAAATGTCCTAGAGAAATATAGTAGCTTTCTGCTCACACTTTGCAAGTAAAAAGGGTGGATCGTTCCACTACTGACATATTTAAAAAAAAAAAGTGCTGAGAAGCAGGGGCCAGCAATATTTTTTTGCACGTGGAGAATTTGAGGCAAGGAAGTTTAGGTGACTTGTCTGAAGCCAACCTGTTAGCAGGTAGGAGTGCTTGTCTTTGAATCCTGGTGTCTGATTCCAGAGTCTATATTCCTATGTCAGGCCTTGTTCTATGCCCCTGGTCCATAGTGAATCAAAATATTCGCCTTCAGGTTGCTTACATTCTACTTGGGGTCGAGGCACCTGATAAATGAGTAAATATGTTTTATCTCTGATGGTGGTCAGTGCATGGAGGAAAAATTAAGCATGTGATGATGAGAATGTGGGATTCAGTGGAGCTGTGGGGTGTACAGGGAAAGCCTTTTGTATAAGGTGACATTTGCTCAGAGATGTAAATGAGCTATAAGTGTGGGCTGTATTGTAATGTGGGGAGGAGCACCCTCAACAGCAGTTCAAAGGCCGTGAAAAAATTTTGTGCTTGGGACAAGGGGCCAGTGGGAGGGGGGTGGAGCC